GGGACCAAGATGTGTTTTCTTCACATAGATTCCATGTGGGATGTGAAACAAATAAGAAAAAGGAGCCAAGAATGACTCCAAGGTTTTTGGCCTGAGCAACCAGAAGAGTGGAGTTGCCATCAGCTGAGATGGCAGTAAGATGAAATTGCCAACTCATGAACATATCTCTGTTTTGCCTTGTTACTTAAAAAAAAAAAAAAGGCAAAACCGGTTTGGCTCAGTGGATAGAGCATCAGCCTGCAGACTGAAAGAACTCAGGTTCGATTCCGGTCAAGGGCATGTACCTTGGTTGCAGGCACATCCTCAGTAGGGGGTGTGCAAGAGGTAACTGATTGATGATTCTCTCTCATCGATGTTTCTAACTTTCTATCCATCTCTCTTCCTCTCTGTAAAAAATCAATAAAATATATATTTTTAAAAAGATCAGTTTGCTAAACTAGCCACTGTGTCATGCCAGTTATCATTCCAATTACCCACACACTTGTTCTTTTGTGCTCACCTCATTCTCCCTGCCTGTGATAACCCAGCTCTTTCCTTCTCTTTCTCACCAACCTAATGGGTTAGTTCAGGTTCTATATCCTCCAGAAAGCCTACCCTAACCACATCCCGATACTCCTGCCATTGTCTTTCATGTGCTATCTGTAATGAATTTTTTTTTTTTTTAGGTCAAAAGCTATTATTCATGAGACCACTTTTGAGTTTGTTCCCTGAATAACTATTTTTTTCCCTAAAGTTCTTACATTCTTCAACTTCGCTCTCTAGTTTTATTGAGATATAATTGGCATGCAACATTATCTTATTCTCAGGGAAACTACATAATGATTTGATATTTGTGTATATTGTGAAATGATCACCACAATATGTTCATCGCACACATGGCTTTCCTTGGGGATTAGAACTTTTAAGAGCTGCTCTCTTAACAACTTTCGGATACACAGTGCAGTATTATTAACCACAGTCACCACACTGTGTGTTACATCCTCAGGGCATATTCATCTCACAACTGAAAGTTTGCACCTTTTGACCACCTCCATCTATTCTACTTACCGCCCACTCCCCACTTCTGACCAACTAACTACCAATCTTCTCTGATCATCCTTCCACTTATGATTCTTTTTACTCAGCTTTGTCACCAAAAACTCACTCAAAAAAATGCCACCCCAACCTGAATGACTGCTGTCGTGTTCCAGGCTCTCCTGTGCCTTTTGGCCCTTCCCCATTCACCTGTCTGTGGCACCCGCCTTTGGTCTCCACCAGAACCTGCTCAGGCTGCTCAGTGTCCCCACATCTTGACATTTCAAGACAGCTCACAAGAGATTCTGAAAGCCCTGTTGTGCTGACGCTCTGACTCAAGCGTCTCCCTCCATGTTGGGCTGACCTCTGCACCTGGGCTGTCATGTACAGACGCTTCAATAACTGCGGGGGACTCCTAGGTGAGCTGACTCCACAGAAGTGCCTGAGTGACCGAACCGTGCAGAGCACTCAGCTCCCAGGGCCGAGCTCCTGGATCTGCCAGGGCCAGCGCACCTCTCACCGTGCTAGAAGTTCAAGAACTCCTGAAATAAATACCGCAGTTGTGTGTCACTTTCACCTATTCACGCCCATGGTTGGTTTTCAGATATTTTTGTAACAGGGAGAAAGTCATTATACTTTTTTAAAGGGGGAAGGGGACCTCGCTTTCCCCTGGGCCTTGTTTCTCTCCTCTCTCCATGTGAACTGGGTTTCTCATCCAATTAAATGAGACCAACTTCCACACCCCAAACTACATCCCAACATCTCCTCTGGGCTTCATTTACTGACTGCATACACAGTGCTCACTCTGGAAATGTGGAGGTTCCTCAAACTCCGAACAGTCAACATGGAATTACTCATCTCTCTTCTCCCTGTTTCTCTTCTTATATTTCCTATCTTGGTTTCTTGCTCAACTCAAACAAGAACCTTGATGTATGCCATCTTCAACTCTTTCTGTTCTCTTAATTTATAATGTGACTCTGAGCTTTCTCTTAAGTGCCTGTCGGTGCCTCCGATCTCCACTCACAAAAGGACCGAAGGTTATCTCGAACCTTCCTTTACTCCAGTTGATCTCTATGTTTCCGCTAGTGATCCCTCTAAAACACAAATTTGATCTAATTTTTTCCCCTGCTTTAAAACTTTGAATAAGTTCCTATTGCCCACGGAATTAAGTCCACATTCTTTGCAAAGAGCACAGGCCCTCTGCACTTTGATCCTTGGCCACACTTCCAGCATTCCTTATCACCATCCTCCCCCCCCACACACAAGTCACCCCTCGGCTCCAGGAATGAACTCACCGCATTCCCTAAAAATCCCCCTGCATTTCCCAATTCCATATTTCCACTATGCTGCTCTCTCTACATGTGCAGTGCTTCTCCTTTTCTTTCCTTTGCATTTCTACTCATCTTTGAGGACAAAATAATGTGAATGTATTCTTTTGAAAATAAAGATGGCAGTGATCAGTCTATGCCAAGTGACACATGAAGCTGACCTAAAAGATGTAACAGGCAGCCCCAGGCCTCGGGGAGCGTTAGGGTGGTAAAGCCAGACTGATGACAAGTGCTACGAGACCCAGTCACGGTCAGTGAGTGCAGCCTTTTCAGCAACCTCAGGTGGAGTTGGTGACCTTGTCTATATTCCCCCAGCAGAGTTGGTCACCCTCTCAACTGTGCCTCCCTCGAGCAGACTGAACCACCCCCCTCCTTTATCTTACTGGTCTTTGTATCCCTGGCACCTGGCACATTGTAAGTCCTTGGCACATGTCTTAGAACCAGGTGGTGTCCTCAGGCACCCTGAGCTCAGAGCCTCCCTGAGTCTCCATACTGGGCTCATTCTACATGGCGATGGGCACCAGGCATAGCAATGGTAGAAATCACCTCCTAGAGTCTTCCCCTAATTCTAGAAGAAACATCCCTTCTCTAGGAAACACTCTAGAACATTTTTACCATGTCTTTCCCCCCTACAGAATCTACCGTGGCTTCCTGTAAATGACATCAGGAAAATAACTTGGAAACCAAGTGCCTGATTTCTCGATTTCCAGCCTGATGGTGGGCAGTAGAATGTTGCCTAGAATCCAGAAGTCCAAACTCCTTCCATCAATTAGATTCTTTGAGATTAATGAGACTCTCTTCTGAAACACAAATGCTCTCTTGGGGAATGAAGCCTATTGGTCATTCAGACTTAGAACACAGTGTTTTAACTAAGTCATTTGCAGCATGTACTGACTGCTAAGTATTTGGTGATTATGACTTAAATACGCATTTAACAAGGTAATCTGAGCCTTTTCCAGTTCTGAGTAACTGGAAACTTTACTGAATGTACACTGCTAAAAGGGAAACTTCCAGGACAAAGTGTAGTTTGAAGGACGACAGACTTGTTCTGGGCGTGGCTGTATCTGTGCATGATGCCGGGGGCATTAGGATGCAGGACAATTAGGATCATGCCCAAAAGGGGTAACAAGCATGCAGAAAGGCCTGTAAGAGCAGACAAAAGATAATTATCTTTCTTTTTTCTTTCTTTCCTTTGATTAAATTAATTTTTGTTTAGGATTCTCATGATATTCCTTCCTTACAAGCCATTTGTCAATCACTTGGGGAGGTCACAGCCTGGATAACATGGTCACATTCAAACGCATGCAGGCTGTCATCTTCTCTGCCTGGTCCCCACCCCCACTGTAGGTCAGAAGTTACTCTCACTCTAACTGATCATACTCACGCCTGCTTCCACTTTGGGTTCATTCTGCTTACCAGAAGCTAGAATGTCACCTCTCTAAACACCTACCCATTCCTCACCCACTTATTCAGTCAACAACCGTTCGCTAAACACCCGCATTCGCAGGACCACGCTGGGACAGGGCATGAGCACCAGTGAGCGCGGTCCGGACGCTAACCTGGTTCTTGTCCAGGGGCCTTTTCCTCCAGGAAGCCCTCATTAATGGTCTGACCAACACTTTCTGAACAAAAAAAGCAAGTCATCCTCTGGTGTGAGCTATGACAATGGCTCAGGACATTGGAAATCCAGTCTGTTCTGGAACATGCAATTGAACATCCTCACTTTTGTACCACACGGCCACGCTGTCCCAGGAGTCAGGAACTAAGGAAAGCGGGGTTTTCCTCAGCCTGCAGTGCTGAGAGAAGACCAGACCTCAGGTGGCCCCGGGACAGTGGTGCTGAGAGTAAGAAAGTCACAGCCACAGAAAGCGCCAAACTCGGCCGCTCTTCTGGAGCAGCAGTTCTTTCTCATGCCAGGGATTCTAACCCAGAAACCCATTCTGCTCAACCCTGGGTGACTTTTGCTTTTATTTTACGTTGAGTTTACAGATGCTACTACAAGATTTCAAAACTAGCGGGATATAAATAACTTTGGACGAGGTTCAGAGGAGAACCACTGTGAGAACCACCATGACTAAAGTGTGGGCAACAGTGTCTATTAATAGACAAAGAAACTGAAATTAGTAGCTCGAGGGAGAGAACGTTTTGGACCTAACAGCGACCTTTACTGGATACAACGTCACAGGAGACTCCTAACCAATAGGAAAAGGACATAGTCTTTGAGCCACTTCATTCTAGAATCTGTTTTTTTTACAAGGGGTGATAGAATTACTCATTTATTTTTTTAAATGTAAAGTGAAGAGAGATGAAAGATTTCTAAATTCTACCCACAGTGGCTTATACAAAAAAGCAGGAAGGAGCCTCTGTATTGAGAGTGGTAAAGGTTTTAAAAATTACCCATACAATATACTTAATGTCACTGAACTATACACCTAAAAATGGTCAAAATGGTAAGTTTTTGGTTATTTATATTTTAAACACACACACACACACACACACACACACACACACACAATCCATGAAAGAAAGCTAGAGCTATCGTGCCTCCAATTGCTAAATAATGTCACTTTTAGGAACAGTCATATTTCACAGCACCCCAAATAACTCACTCGCCTGTTTTCCTAAGACTCTGTAATATCTTTCGTTTTCCTGAAAAAGCAAAGGAGAAATGGAAACTGTTGGGAGATGGGCCCTGGCTTGGACCCAGAGGCAGCGTGCGGATGCGATGGCTGATCCCTGTCATCTGGACTTGCCTGAATGTAGAAGCTCAGTCAAGGCTGGGAGCAGAATGCCAATGCTGTCCGCAGGGCGGGACAATGGTTCTCCACATCAGGCAAGCAAGTCCCTTGAACTGAGCCTGCACTCTATTTCCCCCCTCTTTTCTCTCTTAATCCCCCCAAAGTTAGGTCTCCCTTCCAGCTTCACTCGTGGAACCATCAGTGGGCAACTCATTTGTAAACTAACTTCAGGGAGCTGTACACTTTCCTTCAACTATTTTGAAGAGTAGAGGAAATACTGACTTTCCTTGCCCTGCTTCAAACCAGAGGTCTTTATTAGTTTCAGTTACCTGAGGGGGGAAAAATTATTAAAACAACTCTTGGCAACTTGTAAGAAACAGAAAAGGATTTCCTCAAAAGAATTTGCATCACACTACCTAGCTCAGTAGATAGAGCATCAGCTCCCAGACTGAAGGTTCCCAGGTTGATTCCATGCCCGGGTGGGGGTCCAATTCCCAGTCAGGGGCCGTGCAGGAGGCAGCCAATAAATGATTCCCTCTCATTGATGTTTCTCTCTCTCTCTCTCTCTCTCTCTCTCTCTCTCTCTCTCTCTCTCTCTCTCTCTCACCCTCTTTCTTCCTCTCTGAAATCAATAAAAATATTTTTGAAAAGAAATTACATAAAGGAAATCTTTAAGAAATTGAAAAGACTTAAAAACGATAGTGCCTCTCATTTCCCTTTTGTAACTTCCTTTATTTCCGTGAGAATCATATCCGAGTATTGGCTGTGAGTAAATCCTCATGTTTTCTTAGGCCCCTGCTCTGGGCGTGACTAGGTGGGCCAATGGGTGGTTAATAATTCCTGATGCTGCCTGGGTTACTGTGTTTGTCAACAGAAATGTCAGAGCCCAATGAGTTTTGGAGATTATTTTCAGGGCCATTTGGTTACTTCAAAATGATCGTGCTCTCCCATCTGCCATTACAGCAGACATCCTTCCATGAATTAAAAAAAAAAAAAAAAAAAAAAAAAAAGACTCTATGATTTTGTCGAAATAAGGTCAATTTTACAGCAGATAAGGAGAATCTCATTCCAGTGAAAGGCATAGAACTTTTGATGTTACGGTAAGAACTGGGAGGAGGAATGTTATTAATTTCTTCAATTCTCTGTATCTCAAGACCATAACCCAGCTCAACAATAAAAGTATACAAAATTTGGGTCCAGGAAAAGTATTTCTGCATGAGGAATTCAACTTGGAAGAGAGAAGCATGCCTCCTACTTTCGCTCCCTTACAGTCTACCCCGCAAACCAAGAGAGGAGCTGAGAGGCAGGGAGAACGGGAGGGGAAGCAAGAATGAAAAGGACAGAGGATTAGCTACTAGTAAATGCTCAGTTTCATCCACTAATGGACAGACATATCTTATCTATGAGATTTAAAGGAACAGATCCCAGAAACAAACAGCACCTTGAATGAACGATGCTACCTCGACGTCCAGTTCCAGCCTCCTTTGCAACTGACCAAGTGCTCAAAAAACGTATTCACTGCTGTGGCAGTTTTCAAAACAGGATATGAATATATACACTTTTTTAAAAAGAATATTTTTTTGTATCATGCCTCCCACTTGGAAAGTACAGACTCAGTCACCTTTTAAAAGGAAGGAAATCCTCACACATGCTACAAGACAGATGAACATTATATGACATTAAGCCAGTCACAAAAGGACACTTACACGAGGTACCTAGACTAGTCAGCTCTTAGACATGGATTGGAGACAGGTATGATTTCCCGGGGCCTGGCGGGAGTTATTGTTTAACAGGTAGAGTCTCTTCGGGAAGGTGAAAAAGTTCTGGACAAGGAAGGCAGTGATGAATGTACTTTATGCTACAGAACTGTACAGTTGAAATGGTTTAGAATCTTTAGATTAGGGGTGTCAAACTCAATCAGAGAAGGGGCCAAAATCTAAAATCCAGCCTAAATTGCGGGCTGAATGGTTTACTGAACAGTCATAAACTGTCATTGTGATGGAAACGCAGCGGAGTGCAGTGATGACAGCGCGGTGTGGGCCACATTGCAAGGCCTGGCGGGACGGATTTGGCCCGCGGGCCTTGTGTTTGACATATGTGCTTTAGATGGTAAACTTGAAGTTATGTATATTTTACCACATTTTTTTTAGAAAGTGTAGACTTTCATCTGGTGACAGTTCTCCATGCTGGCTCTTTTGTCTATGTTTTAACGTAGTGTGATCCATGGCTGGTGCCCAACGCACAGTGTGAGACTCATGAGTTCAGTGTATCTCGTAGTGAATGCCTTTTGACTCCACTGGGAACTTGCCAGCCACTTCCTGGAGCGCACCTGCAGTTTGCAAGCTCTTTGCTGCAGGCAGAGGTGCACCGTGTCTTCGTACAGTTAGCCGTGAGCAAGAATTGATGAAACGCTTGATAAAATGGCATCTTAGAAGACGGTGCTTTCCCCCTGCTTTGCCACCCCAGTTCCCTCCCTCACGAGCACCACAGAAAGAGTGACAGCTTATAATTTCTTCTTTTCTAATATGTTCCTCAAGTTGGACGGCAGCTCCCTTCCTCTCCCGAATGCAAACAGGCCACTTTCCACTCTGAGAATATCCCTCATGGCAGCCAGCCCGGGCACCAGCCTATCAGAGAGCTGGCGTCTTCTCCAGCCACAAAGCCAGTGGCTAAGGTACAAAGGGACATTTCTGGCACCTCTTCCCCCTAATATGGTCTTCTCTGGGGGAGAGAGAGGGGAGGCACCTAGGAAATAAAGCTGGCTGGTCCCCAAGTTCCTCTTTCTATTTCTGTCATTTTCACTTCCCCTCTCATCAGAAATCCCCATGTGGCGGCATGCTTTCTCCTCTCCCTTCCCGGACATTTCCGCCTCACTGGTTCCCTGACACCGCGGCTGGGCCTGTCCCCCTCTACCTGCTACTGTCTGTCTTCACATCTTGAGTTCCATTTCCCCCAAGTGTTGGCAGGCTGTTTCTGTACCCAAACTCAACTCTACTTTCAAGAGTACCCTTCGCATTTGCATCCCAGTCAAAAGTCAGTGGTCCTGGCACTTTTTCACACACAGACATCAGGTAGGAAGTCAGGCCTGCCTTCTGGCTGCGCTGATTTGGCGCCACCACCAGACACCCGGGGGTGGGGGTGGGGATGTGTGTGGGGGAATGGGGGGAGAAGCTGGCCTTCCCCGGTGCTCTCTGGCTAGTCAAAGAGGAGCTGCATAGGAAAGGCCTGACCTCCCCATTTCTTGGAGCAACAGGCCCCCATTTCACCTCAATCACATCTTTTGGAAAAATAGAAATAAAATTGAATTTTATTGGGTAAGCTGCCTCTAAAGCCTAAAATCCCATCTGGCCCTTTGCTATCTGTCAAAAGTCCCAATCCTATACAAGCTTTTGTTTTTATTTATTTATTTTTATTGATTTCTGAGAGGAAGGGAGAGGGAGAGAGAGATAGAAACATCAATGATGAGAGAGAATCATTGATCAGCTGCCTCCTGCATGCCCCACACTGGGGATGGAACCCACAACCCGGGCATGTGCCCGGACCGGGAATCAAACCAGTGACCTCCTCGTTCGTAGGCCAAGGCTCAACCACTGAGCCACGCCGGCCGGGCCTAGACAAACTTTTCAATCCCTTCGCAGTTAATGGTTTGAATGACACTGACTTGGCACTGAAAAGCCCTTCTGTGTCCTTTCATTTTAGTGTGCTGGCAGAGTTAACCCTCACTCATTCATACCCTACTGTTCTGGAATGTATACAATTGTCTGGACATGCTAAACCAAACATTTTTATGTTTCTAAAATTCTTTTATCTTTCAATTTATGTTTATATTTAATAATATTTTGCATTAGTTTCAGGTGTGCAATGCATTGGTTAGACAATCACATATTTTAGAAAGTATTGCCCCAATATTTCCAATATCTGCCTAGCACCATACATAATTATTATATTACTGACTGTATTATCTAAGCTATCTTTTATATCCCCGTGACTATTTTGTAACTACCAATTTTGTACCACAGCTTTTTTATTCACTTGTCTATTAATGGGCATTTGAGTTGCTTCCATATCTTGGTTATTATGAATAATGCTGCAATTAATATAATTTTCAAATTAGTGTTTTGAGTTTCTTTGAATATATACCTAGAAGTGCTATCGCTGGGTCATAGGCAGTTCCATTTTTTATTTTTTTGAGACCTTCCATTGTGTTTTCATCCTAAATATCAAAACTGTCCATGCAGACTTTTAATTTTGGCAGAGAACTGTGGCTATGACAACGCCTCTTGTTTCATTTATTGATGTATTCCATTTTGTAGAAGTTGCTACTTGAGGAGTACTTAAAAATAGTTTTGTTTTAAAGGTATTAATGTACATTCATATAAGAACTTACAGTTTACAGAATGATCTCTATCTGTTATCTTTTTGGATCCTCATAATCGCTATAAGTAGTTGTGGTTTTTCAAGAGTAGCTGCAGCTGATACTTGGCCTACAGGTAAGTGCTGAGCCAAGGGCTTCCTTAAGGAGGGAATTTCCAGCTAGTTCTCTGGCAGATGCTTGCCATCTACATATGAGACTAACGATGATTCCTCCCATTTTTAATTTTTAAAAATTATTTTATTTTATTGATCGGTCGATTTATTGATTTCGAGAGTATATTTATGAAAGCTGGTGACAGTGAAATAAGGAAGGGCCTAATATAGAAGAAGCAACAGGAAAGAGCCAAGGCGGGTCTGCTTTGGCTCATTGGAAAGTCAGGGGAAAGGAGGCCTTAGAGACAAGTTCAGGGGCTTAGCCGAGGAAGAGGTGCCACTGCCCATTGCTCCTTTGGTTGCAAGTCTCATGGGATCTCCTAGAGTTTGAGAAATGCAAGCCTGAGGGGAAAGAAAGGTGTGGGCATGCTCCCAGGAGGGAGAGCCTCCTCAATTTTAAAAATTTTAGTGGGGATGTGTGAATAGCTATTCACTTTCAGTGTATTATATGTCGGGAAACAGAATGAAGTGGTTCTGAAAATGTACTAAGTGTCATAAAATGGGTCAATGGGGAAAAGGCAGTCATAATTTATATGTGATTTAATTATATGTCACAATCAAAACTTCAAATAATAAGACTGCCTCCTGCATGAGGATCGAGCCCAAAACCCAGACATGTACCCTGACTGGGAATCGAACTACCAACCCTTCGGTGCATGGGATGAAGCCCAACCAACTGAGCTACACTGGCCAGCGCAGTATTCCTGAATTTTTACAACTCTGAAGGTAGTCTAGTCAGTACCAAGAGAGAAAGCAGGAGAGCAAGCAAGAGAGAGAAAGGTGGAGCCTTAGAAATCTATGCTTTCTATCAGAATTTCCTCTCCTTGGACTAAAGAACAGAACACTTGTGGGTTAGAAGAAATACCTCTCACAAAAAACGAACAAT